CAAACACTTTCCCAACAGCTGAAATTAATTTTTATGCTTAAGCAAGATACCACATGGTGATGAAACATATAAAGTTCACAGATTTTGAATATTCAAAATATCTCAAAAGAAAAAGAGACTATTTGTGCAGTCAAGTATTTGAACTAGGAGAATGACTGAAGAATAAAGAAGAATAAGCAAAAAAGATGTTTATACATTACATAAATATGGAATTTTATTTTATCCCACAAAATATAAAATATAAAATTAACCCACTGCCATCAGGTCAACTCATAGTGACCTTACAGGACAGAGGAGAACTGCCCCATAAGGTTTCCAAGGAGTGGCTGGTGGGTTTGAACTGCTGACCTTTTGGTTAGCAGCCAAGCTCTTAATCACTGTGCAACCAGGTCTCCAATTTAAAATTAGTGGTTAATTAATCATGCCTATTTATACGTAGCTTTTAGAACTCAGATGAAATCTCAGAGAAACTAACTAGAAAGACAGTCCTAATTCAGAATATAGAAATGTTTCCAATTATATATAACTTCATACCAACAGAAGTGCATTCATATTGAATATCTTTAATATCCTCGTAAAAGATGAACTCTCAGAGAATCTAACTAGGAAGACAGTTCTAATTCAGAATTTAGAAATGTTTCCAATTATATATAACTTCATACCAACAGAAGTGCATTCATATTGAATATCTATAATGTCCTCTTGAGTAATACATAATAAAATGATATTAATAATATAACAGTATCTCATAAACACTACCCAATTTTTCTTTCATTAATTTAAGTGAGATTATTTTGTAAAAGGTCTTAATCCATAATGTCAACCCCTTTTGTTTATTTACATTTTTGCCATCTTTTAGAGATCTCTCTGAGGAAGATTTTTTGGTATGTGCATTTTGTTCATGCTAGACATGCCAAATAGATCTCCCAGGATGAAACTCTGAGCTCATTTGGAAGTAATTTTTGGTAGCACATGAATCAGAACTCTTATTTTCTTCTCAGCACTACTAGTATTTTATTGCTTCTATCTATAGTCCAATATGCTTTTAGTGCTAAGAACCATGAGGCCAAACACACAAAGCACTAAGAAAATGGGAACTTCTGGCAATTACAATTTTCAACTCTCTTTCAGGGTTCTTCCCTCCCCTGGGAGAGTGAAATCACTTTAAACTCACTATGAAACAGGAACATGGTATAAGCACAAATGATTGACTGAAGTTGGTGATGTTGATTTAGGAGTTTTCGGCTTACAGGTCAGGTGTAAAACCCTTAAACTTGCTTGTCAAAGTCACTTGTCAAATTCCTATGGATTTTTCCAGGCTCTATCCAAATGTCACTTTCTCTACGGAGGCTTCTCTAGCCACCTCAGGCAGAGTTACCCAGTTTTTCCTTTGCTTTATTACATCACCTTAACATATATCCATGGCAAAGTGGTTAAACAGCTCGGCTTTTACTCAAAAGATTGGCAGTTCAAATCCACCAGTCACTCCTTGGAGCGGCTATGGGGCTATGGGGGCAGTTCTACTCTGTCCGATAAGGTCGCTATGAGTTGGAATGGACTTGAGGACAACGGGTTTATGGCAGCACTTAGCAAATAATATTGCATTTGTTTGTCTGTCTCTCTCCACCGGTGGCTAGAGAGGAACTATTCTCTTCCTTTTATCTCTGACCTAGAACATTACTGAAATCAAGTAGGTTCTCAAATAATAAAAGTAACAATTGAACGGATGGATGGAGAATAATAATACTCTACATCTGCACAGCATAGGCTATGAGGTATTTTCATCCAGAATTTCTTATTTGATTCTGACAACAGACCAATGAGGAAGTTATGGCAGGAATTAATATCGACATTTTAGAGATGAGAAAACCAATGCTCAGAGAGGTTACATGACCAAGTCAAGTTCAAAACAGCTAATATGTTGTACAGCTCTTTCTCATGTCAGCAAGTTGATAAAAATTTGTAGATAGAAGTGATAACAGTAGTCTTATGTAAGGCAGGGATGTTCATGGCTGGCCAGGACTGTGCCAGGTGAGTACTTCAGATGGTTGACACATTTTAGGATGTGGTTACTTGTTTTGAAAGCCTGGAAACTCAATCTTAACACATTCTCAAGAATTTAAGTTAAATGCACATAAAACTGGACATGACAATGCCAAATTATTTACGATGAGAAAGATTTGTGACAAATTCTTTCCCTGTATTCAAGGTATGTCCCCCCAAAAATGTGTGTATCAATTTGGCTGGACCATGATTCCCAGTGTTGTGTGGTTGTCCTCCATTTTGTGATTGTAATTTTATGTTAAAGAGGATTAGGGTGGGATTGTAACACCACCCTTACCCAGGTCACATCCCTGATCCAATGTAAAGGGAGTTTCCCTGGGGTGTGGCCTGAACCACCTTTTATCTCTAAGAGATGAAAGGAAAGGGAAGCAAGCAGAGAGTTGGGGACCTCACACCACCAAGAAAGCAGTGCTGGGAGCAGAGCACATCCTTTGGACCCAGGGTCCTCGTACGGAGAAGTTCCTAGTCCAGGGGATGACTGATGACAAGGACACAAGGACCTTCCTCCAGAGCCGACAGAGACAGAAAGCCTTCCCCTGGAGCTGACACCCTGAATTTGGACTTTCAGCCACTTCACTGTGAAGAAATTAATTTCTCTTTGTTAAAGCCATCCATTTGTGGTATTTCTGTTATAGCGGCACTAGATAACTAAAGACAGGCAGTGAAGTCGGTGCAGAGAAAAAGACAAAAACATATCCTCTATATGTTTGTAATACACACGATTCTGCCATCTCTGAAATTCTGATCATGGCTCACAGACTTAAAGACAACTAAGTTCTTAGAGTGCAATTACTCCAACCTCTTCGTTAAAAAAAGAAAAGAAAAATGGATACCCAGATAGAGAGGATAAATGACTTACCTAAACCCACACAGCTTGTTAACGGCAGCACCAAGGCACAGCATTAGGTCTTCTTAACAGTTGTATCTTTACATTTTTTAACAAGTTATGATTTAGAAGTTTTTATGGATTAAATTGTGTCCCCCAAAACTATGTGTTGGAAGCCTAACCCCTACACCAGTGGATGTAATCCCATTTGGAAACAGGGGTTTCTTTGTTATGTTAATGAGGCCATATCAGTGAAGGGTGTCTTTTAAACCAATCACTTCTGAAATATACAAAGAGTAGACTAGGCACAGAAACAAGCAAAGACAAACTGAGGAAGATAGATGCCACCTGAAGATCCTTTAGGAACACTGCAGTTGCAGAAGCTAAAGGAGACAAAGATCTTCCCCCAGAGGTGACAGAGAGAGAGCCTTTCCCTAGAGCCGGTGCCTTAAGTTAGGACTTCTAGCCTCCTGAACTGTGAGAAAATAAATTTCTGTTCTTTAAAACCACCTATTTTTGGCATTTTTGTTACAGCAGCACTAAGAAACTAAGACAGAATTCATACAAGCATAGTCCTTAGCAAGTCTTAGCAGCTGACTACTATGAATACACATAGGCTGTAACATAGGAATTATCCTTGAATATATGCCGTAACATGGGAGGAATCATCCTTGAACATATGCTGTAACATGGGAGAAGAACACCACATAGCACTCTGTGTATCGGGGGAGGGGAAACACGATGTGACAGGTAGTGTTTCAGGACCCAATCCATGTTAAAACAAGGTACTTTTTAATAAAGATTGGCAATATTAATTATATTTAATTCTTTTTAAATTTCTATTCACCCACAGACAATGATGTTACAAAAACAATTTATCCTTTCAATGTGTCAACATATTTTGTTGAAATGAATCCAAGTGTTCCTGTTGTATTTATAACTTTTAAATTTTGAAGATGGTTTGACGATTTTCACTTAGGCTTCTTCCCATTTCTAGTAGAACATGTTCCACTAGTTACTGGACAGCTAAAAAGTTAAATTATTAAAGAATAAAAACCAAAGACTAAAATCAGATAATATCACACCAAAAAAGGGGGAAATGAACGTATTTACGAAAGTTTTTGGTATAGATTTTATTACTAAAGCTGTTTAACTTTGGGGATGTGTTGTAGGTTATATGTCCTAGGTTAGTAGATGAAAACAATTTGCTTTCCACAAACATAACTGCATTTCAGAAATTGTGCAATTCACACCAAAATCAAATGATTTCATGGGGAAACACCATTGAGGGAGTCTTATTTAACAAATAACTGCTTTGGGAATAGAAATATACCTCAAACTGCAATTAACTGGTTTGTTAATTTATCTTCCCTGCTGGGGACAATCGCTCGAGTTACTTCTTTGAAATATATGGACCTTTACCGGTTTGATATCACCTCTTTGCATGTCCTTCTGTTACTATCATAATCAGAGTCTGTGCTCTTCCTTCCATTCCTTCCCTGGATGCAGAGGAGATGTATTTCCACAGTATTTTTACAGCAAAGCCTTTGCTTCCCTCTAGGATCATAACTTATACCGATTTCCCACCTCCAATTAATGCTGGTATTTACTGTTATCCCCAAGAGTTATAGATTAAAACAAGAGCCCGCATACTAAAAGAAACTTTAGGTATTCAAGGTCAATTCCCATAGTCTAATTCAAAATCAGTTTCTCATATAGGCTATGAAAAAAACTTGTTCATAAATCACAGCATTTTAATGTATTAGATGAAAGATGATTCTGAATATTTTTTAAGCTAGGTGAAATTCAAATATTATGTTGTATAAATATCAGCATCATTTAAGTACCAAATCATTCATTTTCTATACAATTTCAGTAGAATATTTCCCATGTGTACATAAAGTTAAAGATAATTCATTTAGGTCCCCATTGTATGCTAAGCCAACCAACAATTTTTATCCATATCATAGGTATATACTATCTGTCATTTCCTGTTATATGACTATAACATGAGATCAATGTGGTCAATAGGTACACAAAATGCCAATAGAAGAAGTTATTTGAAAATAAAAGCAACAGGCTTGGTAATGCTTTGAGATGTACTACTCACCAAAAAGAGAGTTCGGAAGTTGCTGAGATCACCAAAAAACTCTTCTATGCTCACTGTGTTAGAGTCAAAAATGAAATATTCTCCAAGATTCTCATAGAGCTTTATCATGTTGCTGTGCATGGTGAACAGTTTGTCATATTGGTCTCTGGCAATCTTTGTAAAGCTGTAGCTTTGAGTTAAGGAGCATGATCCAATTATATCTCAAAGGCAATCAGTAGATACTAAGATTAAATTATACTATCATTTATGTAAATACTTGTTATAGTCACATTGGTTAGTAAGTTTTTGAATATATATTCAACAGAACTATTTAATGTAGAACCATGCAGATGGGAAATACCTAGAACATGTTTGCTAAATGAAAATATGTAAGTACCAGAAAACTGCCTCATATTTCATGAACAAGGTAGAGTAGAAACAAACAGAAAAAAAAATTAGTATATATGTATATACATATATATGTGTATATATATATCGTTTCTGAATACACATATTCTACATAGATATAATGAACCAGTTGCTGTCGAGTAGATGCCAACTCATGGCGACCCCATGTGTGTCAGAGGAGAACTATGTTCCATAGCGTTTTCAATGGCTATGATCTTTTCGCAATAGATAGCCAGGCCCTTCTTCTGAGTTGCCTCTGGGCGGACTCGGACTGCAAACTTTTTCATTAGTACCCAGCTCTAGAATTTTAATTACCCAGTGGGCTTGTTAAAACGCAGATTGCTGATTGCTGGCCACAGCCCAGGAACCTGAAAATGACGTCTAATAATGCTGCTGGTCTAAGGACCACATTTGGAGTAGTACTGCTTTAGAAAATTAAGTAGAAGCTATTATCTCTATAAATTAAATAGGTAATTGTTTTGAAACTTTAACAAATGAGTAATGATGATAATAATAATAATAACCACCATGTATCAGTCAGGGTTCTCCAGAGAAATAGAACCAAGAGAGATTTATCTTAAGGAACTGGCTCACAAGATTGTCGGGGGCTCGCAAGTTGAAGTTTGTAGGGCAGGCAAGCAGGCTGGAAATGAGGCAGAATTTTATACCGCAGTCTTGAGGTAGAATTTCTCCCTCCCTGAAAACCTCAGTTTTTGCTCTTAAGGCCTTCTAATGACACGATGGAGCCCACTCACATTATGGAGTGTAATATCCTTCACTTAAAGTCAACTAATTGTAGATGTTACAAGTTAAAAAGCAAAGATGTCACTTTGAGGACAAAGATGCGCCTGACCCAAGCCATTGTATTTTGAATCAACTCATATACATGTGAAAGCTGGACAATGAATAAGCAAGACCAAAGAAGAATTGATGCCTTTGAATTATGGTGTTGGCAAAGAATACTGAATATACCATGGACTGCTAAAATAATGAACAAATTTGTCTTGGAAGAAGTACAGCCAGAATGCTCCTTAGAAGCGAGCATGGCAAGACTTCGACTCACATACTTTGGACATGTTATCAGGAGGGACAACTTCCCGGAGAAGGACATCATGCTTGGTAAAGCAGAGGGTCAACGGAAATGAGGAAGACCCTCAACAAGATGGACTGACACATTAGCTGCAACAATGGGCTCAAACATAGCAACAATTGTGAGGATGGCGCAGGACTGGGCAGTGTTTCGTTCTGTTGTACAAGGGGTTACTGTGAGTCAGAACTGACTCAATGTCACCTGACAACAACAAAACAACAATTGTGGATGCTAACCACATCTGTAAAATACCTTCACAGCAATACCTACATTAGTGTTTGATCAAATAACTAGATATTATAGCCTAGCCAAGATGACACATAAAACTAACCATCACATTCCACTACCAAAGTATAAAATAAACCTAATACACCCACTCCTCACTTACTGACATGGTCAGATTCCAAAGAGCAGGTCACTATGCAAAAATCGGCATTATGGGAAAATGGAGATGACCATGTAAGATCACAAAATGGAGGATGACTACATCATTACAATATGGCCAAATTACAGCATTACAATACAGCCAGATTACATCATTACATAACTGCCAAACCACTGAGAATCATGGTCCAGCCAAGCTGACATATAACCTTAACCATCACAGCCAGCGTTATTCTCGCCTCGCACTTCGGTGTTCATTACAGCCAGACATATGTCCTTAATGGGCAAAACAGTAGGAGAGTCGACTTTTTACCACTGTCATAAATGCAAAATGTCAGATAACAAGACAGTCGATAAGTAAGGAGTAGGTGTATATAGTCCTACTAATGGTATCTCACTATATATAAATTTGTACTTACCAAACTAAATTATCCTTTTTTCCTGATTGTAGAAGATATATAGATGATGATGTGTTATGTTTTGAATCATGTCCCCCAAAAAATGTGTGTATCAATTTGGCTGGGCCATGATTCCCAGAATTGTGGGGTTGTCCTCCATTTTGTGACTGTAATTTTATGTTAAAGACAATTAGGGTGGGATTGTAACACCACCCTTACCCAGGTCACATCCCTGATCCAACGTAAAGGGAGTCTCCCTGGGGTATGGCCTACACTACGTTTTATCTCTCAAGAGATAAAAGGAAAGGGACCCAAGCAGAGAGTTGGGGACCTCATACCTTCAAGAAAGCAGTGCAGGGAGCAGCGAGCATCCTTTGGACCAGGGTCCCTGCGCCGAGAAGCTCCTAGTCCGGCGGAACACTGATGAGAAGGCCAAGAGAGAGAAAGCCTTCACCTGGAGCTGACACCCTGAATTTAGACTTTTAGCCTACTTTACTGTAAGGAAATAAAGTTCTCTTTGTTAAAACCATCCACTTGTGGTATTTCTGTTACAGCAGCACTCGATGACTAAGACATGATCCTTACAGCCAACTTAGAAATACAGAAACATAAATAAATCAACTACAATTTCCAACAACTCAGAAATAAGTATTATGAACATTTTGGAGGATTACTTTGTAATCTTTCGTATATGGCTAATAACTTTTGAATGTTAAATGACAAGAGTGCTTCAGAGAGTAATAAGCTGGTTAACCATGAATAACTAATAAGCCAAACCAATATTTTAAAATTAGAGGTAAATGCATTAAAAACTCAGTAATGATCACAAAAGAAAAATTTCTTTAGTTGAAAAAGCAATAGACTTGGAATTTTAAAAGAAGAATAACAGCTCAGTTTGGGGCAAACTATTTTAAGATCTAATACAGTATTACTATTTTGTGGTGGTATTATTTTATCAGGCACTGATAATTGTGCCTTGAAATACTTGACTTTATCAAGTTTTCTGAATTCTTCAGGGTGTTTTATTATAACCTAGGGGCAAATTTATTTTCCATGGGAACACAGCTCCAGTTTTAAAATGGAAGTCAATGGGTAAATCAGACCATTTCTGGAAAATTACTTTGCAGCTAACACTTATGGAATACACCTTGATTTTAAAAGTGAGATGCCCCCAGCTACGTATGTTCTATTTATGCTACTTAAGTATTAGCATTCACATGAGCAACACAACAACTCCTTTCCTGCTAACAAGGGACATTAAATCATTCAACCCTCAAGTCCATTTGGTGGTCAACAGACCTGAATGAATTCGCGCATTTTTTACATACTGTATTTTTTTTACAAAAGAAAAATGCGTAATACTTCGTACACATTCTGATTTTACCTTTGAGGCTATCACTACATATTTTTCTCTTTTTAAGGAAATGTTAAACATCATGTTTAAGTATTGCAGAAGTAAGACAATAGTCTTCATTTTTTAACACAGAATGAAAGTTAAGATTTTTGTTTTCCAGTCTCTTTCCCCTAAATAAAACAGACTCAGGCCAGGGACTTGCTAGGCAGAAACACTTTCCAAAGGTCACTTACTTGTAATCTATTTGCAATGCAAAGTACTAAACTGTTTGAATATTTCAGAAAGCTCAACATCTGCGCAACACAGAGAGAAAGCCAATGATAACATAAAAGCCAAAAACCGTATTGCCCATTTATCATAACACAATTTTTCACCAGCTAAAAAACGTCCTTTAAGCGATACACAATCCCATAAATTTGTTCTCAGAGAACCAAAACTGATTTCAGAAATTCTGTCTGTGTACCAAAGTGAGAAAATCTGAAAAATTCTGGGAACGGTTTATCTTACAAATAACAGATGGAAAGCAACCCAATCTCCAAGTCCTTCACTTATCTTCAAAGTTGTAAAAGGGATTAGATGGCATGAGTCAGCACCGTAATTTTTCACAATTGCAAACACATCACCAAATCCTACTTGGGACAGCAGGTGAAAATGAACTGGACAACATCTATTCTTTTCAGCCTTCTGTTTCATTTAGGAAATTTTGTTGTGTTTTATTCTATTCTTTTTTTTTTTTTTGGTGCAACCACTAAATACAAGGTACTGGTTACTAAGCACTGTGACTAACACAATGATCATTAAAACCTAATCCCCAACTACAACAAGTTTATGATCTACTATCCCTAAGAATTCTACCGTCATTAACTTGCATTTGTATAGAGCTTTACAGTTTACAATATGCCTTTCCACCCATTATCTCCCATGGATATTATTTACAATAAAAATGACCTTTATGTTGCCAAATCCACTGTTTACTCCTCTATCCTCCTTTGAATATCTCAGCAACATCCTATACATTTAGACACTTCTCTTAGTTTCTGTGACATACACTCCGATGTTTAAAAGGTTTTTTTTTTCTCTTACCTCCTGATACCTCTACATTCTCTGCTTAGTTGATCTCAGCCATTCTCGTGGCATTAAATACTATCTGTATGTTGATGAGGAGCCCTGGTGGCCAGTGGCTGCTTACCAAAAGGGTCAGCAATTCGAACCCACCAGCCACTTCGCTGGAAAAAGATGTGGCAGTCTGCTTCTGTAAAGATTAAACCAAAAAAAAAAACAAGCCCATTGCTGTTGAGTCGATTCCGACTCATAGAGACCCTACCGGACAGAGTAGAACTGCCCCACAGGGTTTCCAAGGAGCAGCTGGTGGATTTGAACTGCCAACCTTTTGGCTCACACTTGTAGCTCTTAACCACGACCCTATGGGGTAGTTCTACTCTGTCCTATAGGGTCGCTATAAATTGGAATTGGCTCTATGGTAACAAGTTATATGTTGCTGACACCCAAATTTATATATCTAACCCCAGTCTCCTTCTTCTGGAGCCCTGGT